TTTTTTTTCACATATATGTATGATTATATTTGTACACATGATTGACAGCACCAATAGGCATTGCTACAGATGAGATGCACCTTTATTTATATGACTTCCAAGAATAAAAGATAACACTTTCCTGCAGCGCAATATATGCAATGGAATCATCTTCATTGAAGGCTACGTATTCAGGTTCCATATTTTGTGAGAAACCACTAGAAATCTGTGGAACCTGTCCCATCATTGGCGCTCTTACGCCATTCGACACATATTGATCCGCTCTGTGTAAACAAGAAACGACATCTGACAGAATGTCGCTTGGTACAACTTAGCATGTGAATTTAAAAATTATCCAAGGCATGTATTACAACATATAATTAACTTATTCGTTTTGATGAAGGAAAAACGTGATCTTGATGAGCTAGAGTGTAGTCTATTTTACCGGTCAAATGTTAATGTGAATGCGATATCAATACATGCAATGGCCAATTAAATATAAAATTAGATAACATATTTACTACTAGATTTAAGTAAGAGAAGGGATGAGAAGTGAGTTAAGCTCCAACAGAGAGAGAGAGAGAGAGAGAGAGAGAGAGTTTAGAGCTGGACGTTAAGAGCCAGATGTTCGGAACTAATCGAATGTCGCTGGTTTTGTAATTTCCTATTAATTGTTTGGGCCTGAATACGAAAGTCTCAACCAATCACGAATATATACACATTTGGCATTGGTCACAGTTCGTTTTCACATTGATAACTATTTGCATTCCCAGCGTTGCGCGGCGACGAATCATAGGTATTACATCGTTGTAGTGAGCCTGAAACAAGGGTTGGAAAGCAAATTAGTCAGCATATGGCAGCGGCATGAGAGAAGCGAATTGTTCTGTTACCCAATCACAACAACGTTTTGAAGAAGATATTCCGACAAAATATAATCCTAGGCATCGAAATTTGCACTACTTTCCCAACCAAATCAGTAAAATAGACTTGCTAATAAAACTCTGCATTGACCACTTTTCTAATGGTTGGCGAGGAACCACTGCAATGTCGGTTAGTTTAATTTACAATCTACTTTAATAAACTGTGAGAACTACAATTAATATGAATATAGGCGTGGAATCTATAAGCACAATACATACATTGCGGTTTACTAATTTGCATACAAACATGTATGGATTTACTGATAGTTAACGTACGAGTGTAATGACGTATTGGAACTCCATGGCTACATGGACAGTTACCATAGAGTGATGTTATAAAACATGGAGGCAAGTCTGTGGCCCGGAGTCATACGATAATGATAAGTCCTACCACACTTTAGTATTTCTTTAAAAAATCATTTGTCATTATTTCATAGCATGTGATATCCGACATAATGTTCTTATTGAACCGCGTCATACTGTGGTTCAGGTGTCAATCAAACACCTAGTTTTTGCTACATCGGAGAGTTTTAATCTTCCGGATGTAAAATAAAGCAATGTTGATTATCGCTTAAAAGTATTACATTGAAGACATTGACGTACCTGTCATTGAATGTAGTAAAGTCGGCGGTTGTAATCTGAGGGGTCTGCGATAAGTCTTTAGATGGAAACGTTATTATCGTGACCGATCCCTCGGGGTCCACATATGTACCTTCCTCCAATTCCGATTCACCAGGTTCGCCCTCGTTCGCAACGACAATAGTCGTACAATCTTTGGTGAAGTGAAGCATGTCTGGCAGAGCACCAACTGAGAAGAAAGCGAAAACTGAAGTCAACAACATAATGTAAAGATCGAATGTAGATGAAGAGGTTTATTTGTTGACAATCTCGCGCAATACTTCACATTGAGTAATGACTTATTATGAACTGAAAACTGAAAATATTCGTTTGATGAAAAATAAAAAAACACTAAGCACTGTTTTCGACATTGTGAAATTCTTTCGTTTTTATACAGAAAACAGAGGCGGCGGCGGCGGCACGAAATGTTGCATGAGGGGCAAGATCTGAAATCTAGACCCTCTGAAACGATATTTCCTGCATTTTGAGGACAACATTTTGCTGACACAACGGGTTTCAGCTTGCTTTTGTGGGGCGACGCCCCCAACATTTTTTCGGGTGGGCGGCGCCCCTTCTGCCCCCTCCCGTGCCGCCATCACTGAAAAAATACGGTATTTTTACCAAGTAAAGTCATATTTATTAAAATCATAAAATGATTGTACAAACATGAGTTGTTGAACACACTTCAGTCATAATTCAAGACAAATAAAAGGCAAAAATAGCAGAAAAAAGAGAATATAACAAATTAACCTTTAATATTCTGTAATATTCTTGTGTAATCGGTAATTATGAAAATTAGTTATTTGGTGCATAGGGAATACATTTCATTATGAATTATTCTTAATATAAATTTCTGAATTATCTTGTCAAAATCATTTGTTTTCAGGGATTTTTCTACCCAAATGCGAAAGAGTTTCGAAAACGGAAAGTAATACCTACAAGCGCCGATTGTTATTGTACATACGAATACAACCAATGCACATATGTTTTTCGGAGTTTGTCAATGTTTCGTCGAATGGTGCCAAGCTGCAAAAATACATGTTTATTTCGTGACAAATCATAATACAATGTGTTCGGTCAGATTTGTATAAATGACATATTGTCAACCATGGTGTATTTTTAACAAACTTCGACCCTCACTAGAACGTCGTCATTATATTCATTTTCCGAAGACACGATAATGAACTATTTATCAAAGTGGTTATTTTCACAATATCCAACTACTACAAAACACAACTAACTAACCAGTGATTTCATGGATTGGGTTCCATATACCAGTGCCGTCATACCGATCAAATATTAACACAGTGCCCGGTGATGTCTTTGGTACAGCAACGACGGACATACCGACATAGTCGCCGCAAAGTTCAATGTCTGTTGCGACACCTTGAGTTATGTTACTGTGGTAGACAATATACGGATTGTCAGCGTCAGAAACATCGAGAATATGAATCACGTGGGTACCTGCAAGATAATTAACAAGTTTAAATACATTGAACGATTGATGTGAACTCGAGGAGGTCTGATAGTATTTACACAAGGCTACTAAAAATAATTGTAAACTATTCACTTGTTAAAAGAGATGCTTATAACAAAATTGGATAATAGGCAACCTCTACTGTAAACAATTTTCAATAGATATTTTTATTGGATGGGAGTCTCTTGCGCTTTTGCGCTTTGATATATTCGAAAAAGCCTTCGTCAATCATTATTTATTACATTATGAATTATAAAATATTTGGGTTAGGTATATTTTTCTTTTAGTTCTTCGCTCATTATACCACTCGAAATATATCAAAATTGTTTAGGTGTAAAATTGGTGTACAAAATGGTAGCATCTTGTCTTCCCTATTTTTTTTACTTTATTTAATAACAACTTGGGGGAATCATTTACTTTTTGTTTACTAAACAAATTGCTTAGATGCACCAGTAAGTGGTCACAGAAGGTTAATATTCTGAAGTATTTCAGAATGATTAAAACAATAGTGACTATTTGAACAGCCTTTATTTAAGTGATTCAATGACGTTTCTAGAGAGCCTGATATATTGGAAAGATGTATTAACCCCGGTGTTTCAAGATAAGATGTATGCGCTTTTCCAAGGTTTTCAGAACAATGTATTGTGCTCCGTGGTCAACCGCAACTTCATCATAATAGTCTGCCCTTTCCTGGAGCCAATTGTGTGGTAGATGGCAGATGACTTCCACACCTTACTTATCGAGCCAGTCCAAAAACAGAGTTGACTGAGGAATGGTGCAGACCTAGTCCCTGATCATAACCTATGGAATAAACTTCTGACCTATCCTATCAGGGGTCCAATTGCACTGCCGGAAGAAGCTGAGACTTGACACCTCAAGCTTTTATCTCTTTGGCAAGGCAATGGGTCAGGGTGAAGACCAAAATGTCTTTTACCTGGAAGTGCTCGATTTCTCTCATGGTTTTCCGCTATCCTTTCCGCCATTCAGGTAGCTCAGCCAGTGTCATGTCTGGAGGTCATCATAGCATGGCACATGCACAGCCATCTGTTGGCTACAGTATTCTGGCATGGAATTGTATGCAGCAAGTTCTTGTGTTAGTACTCGTTCTTGTCCCACCATTGAGCCGGGCCAACTGGTGGTAGAAATGGTTTACCTATACCTGGAAGTAGTGTAGCTAGTCTTTCTGCCTTGCATCCAGTTTTCATCCGAATAATGCTTTTCGGGTGGACTCTGAGATATACTTTCCCCCATCAACTAAGGGGCAATGTTGATTGTAATGCACTATGAGGCAAAGAAACACAATGTGTTGAAAGACGCTGAGGTAGAGGCCCTCTAGCAGATCAAGGATGAAAACTGTTTTCCACAGTCAGTCTGCCCACAGATGATAGCCGAGTGAAGGTTCTTTGGGTATGAAACATTGTTTTTCCCCATAAGAAAAGAAACATTTGTTTTTTCTCTTTTCTTAAGAAACAACAGATTCTTATCTGATGAATCTGCCAGTCCCAATGCTGTTTTTATGTCATCCGGATCGTTACATCCCCACGTCATTTTCTAGATGCCTCACACAGCCATGACGCCGGTCATCATCAGTGGTTCTGGGGTCGAGCCACAGTGCATACTTGCTAAGGACTCGTCTGCCAGCTGCATTGCGATCATTGCCACTTCAAGGTGAAGCTGCAAAAAACTTCTTTAACTCATCACTGGTAAGCACGCTTTCTTTGGCTGAAGAACTGAGTATGAAAATCCTCACTCATAACTTCAATTATCTAGATGTCTGGGTTTCAGAATGCCTTGGATTTCCTGGCAATGTGTCACTATTGTCTCTATCTTGCGGTGGCCCAGGATGCAGTCATACAATTGGAAGGTGGATATCATACTGGTTGCATATATTATGGGCCAGACTTCCTGGGTAACCATGTCAAAAACCAGGTTGATGTTGTTGTTTCTGACAGGCAGGGGAGGGACTCCAGCATCAACAACGCCATCTCCGTCAGACAAAGGAGGGCATATACATACACAGTCTCGGTCACGTCCTGGCCAAGCTAGCTGGCAAGGTAGCTGCAGCTCTACCATAGATCATTGGCTCTATTGTCTCTTGAAGCTGCAGTCTGGTTTGTTGAAAACTCAGTTCTCACTGTTGGAGGCTTGTTCCTAGCTTTGTCTCGACAGGGCGTCTGGCTAAAAAAACATCCAAAGTGCCAGTAAGCCGACTACAGATCCACATGCAATTTTTCAGCCTCGTGCTCCTTTTTTTATCAAGGTGAACCTCAAAGAATTGTGAATTTTTTCTGCAAATTATCTCCCCTGCAATTCCAAGTTTAGTTCTTGAAGTGGGTAGCGTTCGTGCGATGTTTATAGTTTATAGTATTGAACACAGGTTTGGTCTGCAGTGGCAATAATTGTTTCATCTTTGTAGCCAGCTACCTGCCTAATGTGCTACAGCATTTCACAGACATTTAACCTTAATCAAACATTCAACCAAAAGTTGTTGCAACAGCATAAAGGCCTGTTTGGTTTCAGAATTTAAATCAAGTTTTAAATTTGTAAAATTTGTTGGGTTCTTTCCACCAGCTGAGTTTTGGTCTGAGTAATACAATCTTGGCGAGTATTGGATCTATAGTCTGATGAGAGACATGAAAATCTAACGTGTTTGGGGCCTACTACAACACTTGATTAAACACGCTCCACACAGAATGACACACAGAGGCGTGCCGAAGGCGCGACCTGACTAGGGGGTTCCGGGGGCATGCTTCACGGAAAAATTGTGAAATCCCCTGCCAGTTCAGTGACACACATATTTTTACCTCAGTTTGCATTCAACCATTACAATCTCTTCTATTCAGTGTACAGTGTGAATAGCCACTAGACATTGTTTGCACGTCTAGACATTAATTTAGGAGGGGCTCAGGGGTCTGTCTGAAGGTATAGACATTGATTCAGGTGGTGTGTACCCCATTCCTGCTGCTGGAATCTTAGGTCACTGGTGAAAGGGAAGTAGAACACAAAATTTGACATATTTGAAATATTATTAAAATAAAATTATTAAAAGTAAAAGAATTATAGAAAGTACCTACCTACAACATAGACTAGATGGTCCTTTGGATCATGTGCAAGCTGCTCGGCTACATCATTCCCAGGTGCATACAATGGTTGGTCATCGACATATACATAGGGTAGGTATAGAGTTGATATAGGTTTCAACACCACTACACACTCTGTCAGGGCAATTGACAGGTATACAACAATACAAAGTTTAGTAACACACATAGTTTTGCTCAGTGGCAGACAGAGATAATATGCAGCTTGCCTCGTTGAAATCTTTTGCAAGTAGACCAAGCCACCCTTCATATTCTTTGTACTATTTCCCATGGTTACCTGACGTCAATGCACTTTGGTGAACTTTGCCCCCACTTGATTAATTTTATTACTAGTACTTGTTTTTTTTTCATGCAATTGAAACCAGGTGACGAGAATACTATTTTCATAGATTTCGAAATTAGTGGCAGTTCTATATGAAACAGTTACGGAAATATCTTTATTTTCTTATAATCTGGGAAGATGTCAATCACAGGAAGTGAACTGGTTGCAGCACATTGTGATGTTGATACTGCTAGTGGTGTTTAAAATGGACAAAGAATATAAACACTTTTTTGGGTAAGATATTTGCAATCTTCAATTAACAATAAAGCATGCCACTTGAAGTACAATGCTAAATGTTCTTGATGTTTGTTTACACCCTTTCTGACACAGAAACATTTATATATTTTATAATATGCACTGATTTTAACCCAAAACTAGTCAGGTCTGTGCATTATAGTAGAGAATATATGTAACAAGTTTCATTGAACTGGGATAATTAGTACTTGAGATATTGATGTAAATGTCACAAATTGGCTAATTATGCAAATTTGGTAATTAATATTAACATATTTTAAACCCAAACTAATCATGCCGATGCTTAGTCCTAGAACAACTATGTACCAAGTTTCATTGAGATGTAATGATTTGTACTTGGAATATCAGCAAAAAAGCAAATTAGATAATTAATATGCACGGATATTGACTTAAAACCTATTAGGTATTTGAATTGTAGAGAATCTATGTACCAAGTTACATTGAAATGGGAAAATTAGTACTTGAGATATTGATGTAAAAGCCACAAATTGGATAATTATGCAAATTTGGTAATTAAAATGCACAGATTTTAAACCAAAACTAATCATGTCTGTGCTAAGTCCTAGAGCAATCCTGTACTAAGTTTCATTGAAATATGATAGTATTTATCAGTACTAGATATCAGAGAAAAAGCCGGAAATTGAATGATCATTATGCAAATTAGGTAATTAATATGCATGTTTTTACCCGAAACTAATCAAATCTGTGTTTAGTCAGGGCATGTAATGTACCAAGTTTCATCAAAATTCAATGATTGGTTCTTTAGATGTCAGTGGAATAGTCATTGAACAGCTAAAAATTAGCTAATTATCATGCAAATAGGTAATTAATATGCATGGACTTTAATCAAAATCTAATCAAATCTGCGCATTAGCCCAGAGCATCTATGCATCAAGTATCATCAAAAAGAAACATATGATTATTGAGATATCAGTGGAACAGACGGACACATCCACACCCATACACATACAGATGCACTAACTGCAATGTCTCCATTTTGTGCTTCGCACACAAGAGCCAAAAATTGTCATCACTAGATTCGCAAATATCACATCTATTTCGGGATTTCCAAAAACAGGAAATTTTGTTATTTGTAATGCTGTAGGTTCATTTGAATGACTACAAAATTGTAGGCAATTATGACGTATTCGGACAAAAATGTCATGTGACACAGAAACCCCAATCGAAAATGATTGATTACAAGAAGGCTAATATAACAGGTCAAATATAGACTAAGATGTAGAAGTCTGTCAAAGTTCTTTTTATTCCAAGAATACCATAAATATGATCATACACATCTGATAAAGTAGGACATTGCAATGAAAAAGTTAAGTTCAGTGAATGAAGAATAAACTAGACACAAGCCAAATAAAAAGTTGTTTTCCCCAATATCAGTCGCCCGCTATGGCGATCTTGTAGATAAATGAGTGCAAAATGCCTAAATACATAATAAGCACTCAGCATTTACATAGGACTATAAAAAATAGTAAGTTTCGCAATGTAAGTTACTTGTACCCTTTTTATTGATACCACTTGTGACACAGTTCATGTAATAACCTCCATTAAACACCCCAAACAATAATTACAATGTCAATAATTACAAAGGGTGAATATACCCACATGTTCAGTTACCTGAATCTGACTAATCAACATCTTTACTGCTTTCTCTAAAACATGAATAAAAGTCTGTAGGTTAGATTCTTCATTACTCATCGGATACTCAGGGCGCGTATATCCAACAACCTCATGCCATCATCCAATAGAATCATGTCAATTCCTAAATTGCAGAATCCAACACTATATCTTAGATCTTGTTGCATCCTTTGAAATCTCTATTGTATAAGAAAATGTGTTGTCGACAATGTGGTATGAAACCTCATCTTCAACCTTTCGCTAATTCAAACATTGAAGTAAGTTTCTCGTCAACTTGGAGCTTTATGAGTGTCTTATTGTTGGTGGGTGTTGTTGCAGCATCTGAACGAGCCGCACTGTTGTTTTTTTCAGCAGGAGACCCCTAAGCAACTCCACCTGTTTCTTCTACTCTCTGATCAGAACTCGTGACAAGTGTACACACATTCTGAAATAATAGTAATACTGAAATACTCACTGTCACTGTCACTACTCTTCCTCCGTGATTGGGGTATACATCGGAAATATAGAACATGTTCTGACATTGTAAAATAGCATGTCCCCGATAATGGATTACAGACGGATGAGACTGGATGGCAAGGTTTTGGTACAGAAACCAAGAAGTCACATACATATAATGTGCTACCAAAGTTCAGACAGATGACCAACCCCATACAGTAATTACAATTTCATTAATTACAAAGTGTGAATATTTCCACATGTTACACTAAGAAAGAACATTGACGCAAAAAATTATTTGAGCTTTTTTGCACTATGTTCTCACGGTTTACGAACTGTGGTACGGTCATGTGGTACGTACAAAACACGTCTGTGGAAAGATGCATACAGTAGCAGGCACGGTTCTAGAAGCCGTACCTACACACGAATTGGTGACGTCACAAAATACATGACCTTCAATCGGGGTCGTTTCCTCGGTATATACGAATTGGTATATACAAATTACAATAAAGATACTTAAGACATTACACATAAGGTAAAAATAAATCACGTGACAATATAATGATAATAACGGTAATAAATTCTAGCTTAACAGGTGAACAGAACGATCATATAGTCAGTCGGGTCACGCCAAGGGTCACGCACTGCGTTGCAAAATGGCCGTGTGGTTGAAACTGGGTCATGGCGTGACGGGTGAGGAAGACCAAACCGTAACAAGTAAACAAAGTACGTCGCGAAAAAATAATAAACCACACGAAACTCCACCATGCAAAACAGAATGAATAAATAATAAAATAACTTACGTCTTAAACTGGACGACGCGCAATTTGTTCAACAGTTTCCAGATTGTGACAAGAGATAAACAAGACCCAAGTCAAGGTAAGTTTTGTGTCGATGGCGTTCCCTACATTACGAAAACAATTCAGGCAACAGACGAATATCTTCTGTGGTGTTGTGGAATTTATACTGTGTCTGCGGAATTGTTGATTGACGGTTCGAAGTCAGCAGTTAAGATTTTGTTAGAAAGTTTCACAATTAAATCAAATATCCAATGATACCAGTATATTTATTTCATTATTTTAACAACTTGTAATTGTGTGAATTAATCGAACGCGAGTTGTTTACACCAAAATAAGTCTCAAATATTTGTCGACACAATTATTCTCTCAATTTAACAACCTTGTAGAGGTGGAAAATTAATTAAACGACAGGTATTTACTCACAAATATATGGTCAATATTTGTCCATACATTTATTCTCTCAATTTAACAACTTGTAATGGTGGGAATTAATCAAACGCGAGTTGTCTACACCAAAATAAGTTTAAAATACTTATACACACATTTATTCTCACAATTTAACAACTTGTAATGGTGTAAAATTATTAAGGTAGAGATACAGTTTACCTGACAGGTATTTTAATTAGTTAATTAGGAAACCAAGATGACCTCCCTTGTCCACAAAACTATATATTTTCGGAAAGCTTATTGTATGAATTTTAAAATGTTGTTAGTATTTTTTTTCTATGGACACTGTAGTTTGAAATATGCACAAAAATGTGCTTTTTTGGTCAAAAGTGATTTAAAAAAAAATAGCTTCTAAACCATGCTTCTGTTTCCTGTCAAAATTGGTATATGGGTACATCTGTTTACTATGAAGAAAGTGCCATCTTGAAAACTGTCTACCAGTTCTCAATTTTACAGGGCGGCAGCTCAAATTTCACTACTTCAAGTTTATGCATAAATTAACACCCAGGCTAGTTGTCTGTACGATTGTTGTAACACTGTTCAACCAAAAACAATTTCCCAACGGCGTTTTGAAGATAAACACATTGTCAATCATTTGTGAAAATTTCAAAACAAAAGGTCAAAGCGTCTAGGAGCTATTTTTTTTAAAGTTCTGGAATGTGCACTCAAAAGAAGCTGAGATAATTGCTAATTTGCATAACAATTCACTCAGTAAGAAGTTTGCTAATGCTCATAATTAAAATGGCTGTAACAGGTCCAAATTTAAATGTATTATCGTTTTGGTAAAAGTTAAATATAGTGCATAATATGGAGATCCCGTCATTTCTTTTTTTCACCATGTTTCTTTTTTATTATTTATGTACAGCCTTGCTAAATCTTGCTAAGCATTCAAAAGAGAGAATGTTTGCACCTGTTATCTATATTTTAAAATCGTTTTTTGAGTATGTTCCACTATTCACAATTGTACAAAATTTTAACAGTCTATAGCCAAGACTGTTTGGATAATAAAAAGCTCAATTTAACAACTTGTAATGGTGTAAAATTATTAAACGAGAGTTGTCTACACCAAAATAAGTCTCAAATATTTGTTCACACATTTGTTTTCACAATTTAACAACTTGTAATGGTGGAAGTTAATTAAACTTGACTTGTTTACACCAAAATAAATATTAAATATTTGTTGAGACGTTAATTGTCTCTATTTAACAACATGTAATTGTGGGAATTAATCAAACGCGAGTTGTTTACACCAAAATAAGTATTAAATATTTGTCCACACATTTATTCTCTTAATTTAACACTTTGTAATTGTGGGAATTAATCAAACATGAGTTGTTTACACCAAAATAAGTATTAAAT